TCCCAAGTAGCTGGGACCACAGGTGCCCGCCACAATGCCTGGCTATTTTTTGGTTGCAGCCGTCATTGTTGTTTGGCAGGTCCAGGCTGGATTCAAACGCACCATCTTAGGTGTACGTGGCTGGTGCCTTAGCCGGTTGAGCTACAGGCGCCGAGCCTTGAGATTCTTTAGAACAGGGCCCATTTAGTTATAATGTGAATTTTTTTTTCTTTTGAACGCACATGGGGATAGAGAGTGTGTTCTTCATCTTTTTTTTTTTCGAAACTCTTACGTCCTGCAGTGTGGAGAGAGATTAGATACTGCCTCTGTTAAAAAAAAGCACAATTCAGAAGACAGTGCACGGAGGGCTACCTTTCATGCTTACTAAATAAAAACATAAATACTTCAGTGGGTAGAATAACGTACCCCATCCAAAGGATAAATCCACGTCATAATCTCTAGAGATTGTAAAACGCAACCATATTGGGAAATAGGGTCTCTGCATGTGTAATTAGTGAGGGAATCTCGAGATGAGACCATCCTGGATTACGGAAGGCCCTAAATCCAGTTAAGAGACAGCAGAGGAGACACAGACACAGAGGAGAAGCCTCGTGGAGATGGAGACAGAGACTGGAATGATGTGGCCACAAGCCCAGGGACACTTGGAGCCCCCAGGAGCTTGGAGAGGCAGGAAGGAGCCTCCCCTGGGGCCTGTGGAGGGAGCAGCCCTGAGACACCCCCATCTCCAACTCCTGAGCTCCAGGGCTGGGACCAGCGAAGGTCCAGGAGAGCAAGGGGATGAGGGCAGAGGAACCCACTTCTTCTTAGTGCCCACCTGTGCCCATCATATGCCCTGAACATGCTTCCCCACTCAAACTGCACAAGCAGGCCAACTGTGAAATAGGCACAGGAGCCAGGCACACTGAAGGCCTGGTTGCCCATGCTAATGGGTTCACAAGGGTCCCAGAGATCTCCAACCAGGGGTGTAGAAGGCCTGATGGAGACCGTCATTATGATTCTTTACAGAAGCCCACCAGAGGCCTTTATCCTGAACCCCTCTGTCCCGCCAGACTTGCATCCAGGTATCCGCCAGCTGGGTCCCTTCAAGCTTAG